TAACATTTGTTATCTCTTGTCTTTTGATGATGACTATTCATGTCAAGGAGCTTTATTCATATATTTTCTGTTAGAAGTTTCATGGTTTTATTCTTTTAAAATTTTATGGAAGCTTTATTACATACAATAATTGAAGAAATCAATGGTCAGTGGTGACTGGACTCAATCTCCAGTCCCTCTCCCCACTCCTGAAGTCTGTGGTGGGGATTCAAGTGTGGGATTAAAAGTTCTACCTCATTGGGTCTCCCCTGGTGGCGCAGGTGGTTGAGCACAGTGCTGTGAAGTTGTCCACAGCCTCCGCAGCGCCGGTTCAATCCCTGCCAGCCAGCAAGTCCCACATGGCGTGGCAGACCTCTCCTGTCTTGCCCACTGCTCCCCTCAGCAGTGTATTTCGTCAGCCTGCCTGTTCTGTTCCCCACTCTGTCTCTGGTGAATCCTCTCATCCTCCTGTGCCTATACCCGGGTTCTTGTATAAATAAATAAATAAATATTTTTTAAAAAAAAATTCTACCCCATTAATCATGCAGTTGATTCCCATGATGACTAGCCCCTGTCTTTCAGTGCTTTCCATAAGTCACTTCATTAACATAAATAAATTCAGGTGTGAATGAAGGGGTTTGTTATGAATAACAAGGCACCTCTATAACTCTCTTAGGAAATTGCAGGGCTTTAAGAGCTCTGTGGAGAGGAGTCCTTTCAAACATCAAAAACTTTATTAGGTTTCTAAGGTTCCTTTAGAATCTGGAATAGTTCAGATACCTTCGTGGAGTTTTTCACACCCTACAGATAATACCACCAAATCTTGTTGACTATCTTTAAAGATATGGCAATGCAAAAACATATAGCATTGCAACATTTTGAATCATACCATACATATAATGTTCATCTCTTTTCCAAATGAACATCTGTCTTATTTTCTTGTTTCCATCCTTATCTGCTTCCACTTTCATCTAAGCATAGCAGACAGTAGTCTTGTTGAAATGTGAATCAGATCATACTATTGTGTTTCTCAAAATAGATCAATGTATCAATACTGTAGACAGAGAAACTGAAATCTGGTGGAGTTTTACAGCATAGGAGAAATGTTTATTTGAAGCTTAGTACTGCAGCCCAGGGTACACAGACCCTAGAAACTCTGGAATTGCATGTTCCAGTCGCCCAGGGATGTATGCACTCCTATGTTCATCAAAGCGCTACTTGTAATAGCCAAGCTATGGAAACAACCTCATTGCCCAAGGAAGGTGAATAGATTAGGAAAATGTGGCATATACACAATGGAGTACTACTCAGCTATCAAAAAACAAAAAGATAAAATCTTGGCATTGAGATACCATGGATGAAACTGGAGAAGATTATGCTAAATGAAATAAGATAGGAGAAAGTCAAACACTGGATGGTGTCACTTATATGTGGAATACAGAGAAACAAAACAAACAGCCAGATAAAACCAAACCATTAACAAACCCTAGAAATCTGACTGTAGAATTGAAGTCACAGGGTGGGAAGAGGAAGGGAAATGGAGAAACTAAAGTGGGGAGGGGTTACAATAGACTATGGTGGAGGACTAATGGGTGCTTTGGTGTTGGGTGTGGTGTGGTAGCAAACCTAAAGGATGGGATACTATACCTATAAATCGTGCAACGTGTAAACCAATGTTGCCTCAAAAAATATATATATATATGTATAATAAAGGTAGACTAGTTCACATTCAAGTCCATGTTATGCAAATGAAGTTTCAATCAGTTTTTTTAAAAAGATTTATTTGTTTATGCATCCAAGAACTGGGGTGTAGACCAGAGGTATGGGGGTTGAGAGGATTCACCAAAGAAAGTGGGGGGTAGAAAAGGCAGATCTACTGAAATACTGAAATACACTGTTGAGGGGAGCAGCAGGCGAGTCAGGAGAGGTCTGCTGCACCATGTGGGTTAGCTCCCTGGCTGGCTGGGGATTGAACTCAAGCTGCAGTGCTGGTGATAGTTTGATAGCTCTGTCTTTAACTGCTTCACCACCAGGTAGGCCCTCAATCAGTGTTTTGATTGGTGAAAAGTTTGTCAGCAGTAATTGGTGAAGTTTCGATCCTAAGTGATCTGTGTTGGGTGAGTTTTATTTCAGCTTCTTCTAGGAGGTAGCTGTGTTTGAACATGCCTGGACATGTATGTCAGAGAGCTAATAATGCTCAATTGTCTCCCATCTCTGTTTTACTTACCCAGACTCAAATGACTCCAAAATGTTTCACATTTCTTGTCAACACATATGTCTAGACCACACACATAAATGTACATGTGCACATACATAGCCACATCAGTTATATGTATTAAATTTCTATTTTGCATTCATTAAATGTCATTTTTTTACCATCCAACTTGCTCTCCTAGTTATTTGCCTTCATTATGTTTCACTAAAGTGAACATAATTGTTTAGCTATGACCTTAGAATTACACCATTTATTACCTTCCTTGTTCTGAACACTTTCTAATAACATTCTCCTTGATTTCATTAGCAATTTTGACTATCATATTCTTCAAGTCACATCAAACATTTAGTCAAGTAAAATTCTTAGCCCTTTTTAAAAGTAAATTCCTATTTAATCCTCCCTAACCTGCACTTGATCAACAGATACTCTTAACCCAAATATAGAACTTCTTGTGCATCATAAAGACATCCACTCATTTTAGTATTGATTCACTTATAAGCACTTCTGAGGATTTGTAGTTTTCTTTGAACCCATTATTTCATAAATCATCATGATTTTATATAACATATTTTTTAGAATATTTTGCAGATATTTATAATCTTTAATATGTTAGAAAGAATTTTCTACTAAAATCAAGGCATATTATGACTATGCTATTTTTATAATTTACCCATTATAAGAGCCATAAACATAAGAGATGAGTTGAGTTTGACCATAACTCACTACTCAGGAAACGATGTGCATTCCATATGATCAACAATTTCTTTTTCCAAATATTAATGAAACATTAGCTAGTAATATTTTAAGATTATTTTTGAGAATATTTGATAATGTAGCTTCCTCTTTAAAAATCAGAGCATTTGTCATTTTTCAGTCTTTGGTAACTTTTTTTAAAAAAGATTTGTTTATTTATGCATACCAGAACGGGTACAGGCCAGAGGTGCGGGTTGGGGGTGGGGGGGGTGGGGGGGTGAGAGGATTCACCAGAGACAGAGTGGGGAACAGAACAGGCAGACTGACTGAAATATACTGCTGAGGGGAGCAGTGGGTGAGGCAGGAGAGATCCACTGTGCCATGTGGGTATCTCCCTGGCTGGGGATTGAACTTGTGCTGCAGTGGCTGTGGATGGCCCCATAGGCTGCGTCCCAACCCCTTGTGCCACCAGGGAGGCACAAATGGGTGCACAAATGGGTGTCTTCTACTCTTTTGACTTTTGAAGGTACATGACATCATGGTTAAGAGTGTTGACTCTAGACACACACTGCTCAGGTCTGTGACCAGCTCCATCACTTTCTAGCTACCAGACCTGGGGCAAGTTGTGAACCTTCCCATGTCCAATTCATCATATGTAAAATAGGAAAAATATTAGTACTACTTTCATAAAAAGTCATTGCAATATTTAAATTACCTTACATGTAAAAACCTTCAGAGTAGTAACTAACACATAATACGCACTACATAGCTATCTTATGTTTTTGTTCCTAGCTTTCTTAAGCGCTTTATGTTTTTTCAAGAATTAATCTCTTTACTTTGAAATTTGAAATTTACTTTGATACTTGATCATGATTACCTTCACTGTGGGGTTATCAGTCACCCCTAGCTTTCTACCCTTGCTCTACCTACACAGACTATTTAGTCCATTTCTTTCTCCTTAGTGAAAAAAAAAAAAATCTGCTTTTCTTATCCTTTTATTCTATTGTTTTTATAGTGTTTACTTGTTATAAGAGAATGTGTCTAACAAACACTGGCACTTATTATACTGGAAGGACTGATTACAGGTTTGCTTATTTTGTCTTTTCTCCATAGCACTAGATCCTAAGCTTCTTGGGTTCAGAAAAAATATCTTACATATCATGCCCTTGTCAAAAGTTCATAAATAGAATAAATAAAACCAAGAAATCACTGAAGTAGTAATTAGTAAAAGTGTATTGTGCACATAACCCAAAGACGGCAAACTGGGAACTACAAAGAACACATGCAATGAAGCTCAGTTGTATATTGTTATAAAGCAATTTGCATAGTGAGGAGGCAATGATAGATTGTAACAATAGAGTTTTCTTCATTGACAGTTTTCTTCAATTGTTCAGTGGTTACTTCATATCAATTTTGGGAACAGATTAATTTTTGCTTATGATTTCCAGAGGCATAAGCAAGGAATGACCCAAGTCAAATCAGTCTTGCAAAAGAAGCTAAACTTGCTTTGCTTGTGTGACTAAACCGATTTTGTCTGCTTAGGTAATTTTCAAGGTTGGTCTTCATTTATATTTTATTTTAACACACTTCAATCAGTTCCCGGTTGGAAAATAAATATGCTTAGTAGAAAGTTAACAATGTAATAGCATCTTTATATTACCTATATTTCAAATATTTTAATGCCAAAACTAGATAATATATGTTTGGTACATTTGTATTCACTGACACTCAATTTCAAGTCTCCATATATCTGAAGGGCAGCCAACATTATCCATCTCCATAAACAATGTAGGCTAGAGAGTCTAGTTCAAAGTCAATAAAGACTTAGCTCTAGGTAAGGATTTAGTGTGGATATACCCCTTTTTGTTTCCTGTTTCATTTACTTTCAGATTTGAACATAATTGCAAACTGCTTTACTATGTCACTAAAGACCTTTTGGTATATTCTGCTTTGTATTTACTAATGCTACCATACAAAATATGACTATTCACAAATAAGATTATGAATAACATATCTGCTTATATAACATTTAAAAACATTAGAGACTTTGGAAACTTAAATCAGAAACACTCATTGACAAAGTCTAAAAATCTCTTGTTATAGGAGATAATCAACAGAGAAATGAAAATGCTTCTTCAAGTTCTATAGCCACTGAAGTGTTGAACCAGAGTATATGAGGTGGGACTTTATTTTTTTAAAGATTTATTTTATTTATGCATACAAGAGCTGGGGTGTAGGCCAGAGGTGTTGCGGCGATAGTGAGAGGATTCACCAGAGACAGAGCAGGGAGCAGAATAGGAGGATCTACTGAAATACACTGTTGAGGGGAGCAGCAGGCGAGGCACGAGAAGTCTGCTGTTCCATGTGGGTTAGCTCCCTGGCCAGGGATTGAGCTGGTGCTGCAGAGGCTGCTGATAGCTTCATAGTGCTGAGACTTAACCCCTTGCTCCATCAGGGAGGCTGGAGGTGGGACATTTTTAATGTCCACTAACTTCATAACCAATAATGTAGGCTTGGTTTGTCAGTTACCTGGTGACTGTCATTGTGTAGGGCCAACAGGCAGAACGGAGTGTGGACTGCCTAAGGTCGTTGCGTCCAATATTCACTCACGGAGGATTTCAGGTTTGATTTTAAGGAAGGGGGAGCTGGAGATGGATGTCCTGTTGTGCTTGCCCACCCTGGCTCCTTTCTCTTCTCAATGCTCAGAATCTACACATGGATTCCCCGCTCTCAAATTCTCAGATTCAGAGCAGATAGCACTTTCTCTTATCCAACAAAGACAACATTCAAATAAAATGATCTCCAACACATGGATGATTTTTGCACATTTCAAGTCAAATAATGAATGTGATGTTTTGCCATGCTTCAGCATATTTAGTGTTAAAATTTGAAATTTTTCCAATAATTTCTGCATCCATGCTTTAATAGTTACAGAAATTCACCTCATTTCTCTCTTTGTCAAATACTGCTTTTAAAAATATGTGCCATAAAAAATGAGTGAGACTAGTCAGACATTCAGTCAATGAAAAAGCTAAATAATACCCTAAATGTGTATGGCTGCACATCATTGGTTTTATAGTCTAAAAGAGTTCATGTGCTATTTGGAATATGTAACAACATGATCCTTTTTGAAAAATAAACTAAACTTTGCCCTGAATTCCTCACAGTGTTAATAGTAGTTGCACATGAGTAAATCAAGACAGAATTTGTGCCCTCTGGCACAACGAAGCATATGTATATATTTGCTCTTCAATCCAATGAGGACTTTAAAGTGCAGAAATACTAACATACAAAATAGAAATGAACCTCAATATAAGGGTAATAGATTTGGTTTGTAAATGAAATAAAGCCTTAATAGCTATCTTACTTTCTATTTTAAGTGAAAGGAAATTAACAGAGGCTCTGGATGTTAGATGTTGGTGGATTAGTAAGTATGAATAATTTACTAAGACAATAGCACTGCATTTTCTCTACAAATAAGGTGGACTTTTATATAAAAATATCCATTCCAAGCTACTTATAGTGATCCTCTCTTCATTGCTTTATTCAGTCATGTAACAAATATTTATAGAATAATTACTATGTGAAATATGTACTGTTGTAACTGAGGAATGTAAAAATCAACTAGACATTGATTTTTGTTCCAAAGAAATTAAAAGCCCAGTAAAGATGGGGTCATCAAGAATTAAATGAAAGCACAATATATTTTAGTACAGATAACAAAATTACATGATTATTCAAATTTGTGACTATAAATCTTCCAAATAGGTTATAACTAATGTATTGAGAAATATATTCCCATTTTAAAATATTTCCTATTATATTTGTTTCTTGTATATACAAGGAAGTGATTCAGAAGCTCAAAGATGCCCAATGATGAAAGATTTTAAAAAGTTTTAAACAATTTTAGATATTTTTAATTGAAATAAGCTTAATTTATGGTATCACATAGGTTTCAGGTGTAGAGCTTATTAATAAACATCTGTATATACTACATCATGTTCACCACCAAAAGTCTATTTTCTATCCATCACCTTATAGTTGATTCTTTTTTACTCAATTAGCCTGCCCTGCTTTCCGGTAACTACTATTTTGTCCCTATAGTCTAAAAGTTTGATTTTTTTGTGAATTTTTTTGTCAAGCAAATATCAGTGAAATCCATATGGTATTTGTCTTTCTTCAAATTTTAGACTTTTGATGCAAAGTAATAGAAGAATGTCTATAGTACTAAGCCTGAACCTACTAATAGACATAATATTAGTGATAATTAATACCTGAATGTATATAATGTTTATTCTCTGGGGGGAAAATGGTATCATATTTTCACAATTTAGCAGGAGAATTGTGAGAATTTCAATTATTAAAACATAATGAGAATTAAATTTTTATTATTAACTTTATAAAGCTTTAAGATAATTATTCATAAAGAAAGACTTGAGCATTCAGTTGGACTCTTATAGTTAAATATGTATTTAGACCTAAAACTTTATCTGAGACTGACTTTTACAAGTGCCTTATGATAACGCAGTGAATAATCATATTTAGTGATGTCCTATTCTATGGATGGCCTTAAGATGTATAAAAAGTATGAAGATAAGGTTTTTGCCAAATTAAGAACTACTGTTTTGTAATAAGACAACCAAATGGGTAAAGTAGTTTGTATTAAGAGGGTTGACTTTGTAGTTCAGAATAGCAAGTTGATTTATTATCATAGAATAGATTTCACAGATTAAAACAGTCTTTACAACAATACCTGCTGTCTTTGGGAAAGTTTCCAGTACGTTTTTGAGATTAGTTGTAACATTATATTGTTTTACAAAGGAACCTATTCAGAAGTTGTTTTTCCCCAGCTTCTTTCTTAGATGTCTAACCTTGATTTTACCGGAGAAATGCTGTGTAAGATCCCTAATTCTGCGGTAACAAATTATCACAGACTTAGTGACTTAAAACAACTCAGGTTTATTATATTAAAATTGTGAAGGACAGAAGTCCAAAATGCATCTCATTGGACAAAAATTAAGGTTTCATCTGGACTTTGTTCCTTCTGGAATCTGAAGGGGTGAATTTGCTTCCCTCCTTTTCCAACTTCTAGAGGATACCTGAATTTTTTGACACCTTATCCCTCTTCCATTTTCAAAGCCAGCAATGTATCTTTTTCAAATATGTTTGCCTTTTTTCCACATTTAATGTCACTTATGACTGCCCAGATATTCCCAGGATTTTTTTTTTTTAGTAATGAACTTAATGTAGTATATACAGGTGTTGATATTTAAAGATGCACATCTAAGACATATTTAATGTTATAATACAAGATTACTTCATTAAAAAAATAAAGTCAACTGATTAGCAACCTTAATTCCATTTGCAACCTTAAATTCTCCTATGTCATGTAACAGAATATTCACAAGTTTCAGGCACTCAGTTGTAAACATCTTTGATGGACCACATTCTGCGCACCATAGATGAGAACAAGTTTTTTAGTAAAGTAAGTATGAATCATTGGCCCTGCATTAACACTCTTTGAGCTGTTCTAGTTGTAGATTATTTTCCCAAAAGTATCTAATACTCCTCCCCCCCATCTTGTTATAGAAGTCACTCTTGGCCTGACTGATATTCTTGATATTCATATCATATTCTTGATATGATATTCTTTGTGACTATGGTTAAATATGTTGTCAAAACAATAACCTATCTAACATGCATTTGGCAGGAGTATTCTTGATGTTTTCTCAAATCAGCCTTAATAGATTTCTAGGAAAAGGAGTAAAAAACATTTGCACAAATCCTGACATATTTTTCATTAAAATAAACATGGCTGGGCCTTCCCTGATGGCGCAGTAGGTTGAGCACTGGGCTGCGAAGCTGCCCGCAGCCTCTGCAACACTGGTTAGTTCCCCGGCTGCCGGCGAGGATCCCATGTGGCACGCAGACCTCTCCTGCCACGCCCGCTGCTCCCCTCAGCAGTGTATTTCATCAGTCTGCCTGTTCTGTTCCCCGCTCTGGCTCTGGTGAATTCTCTTACCCTCCCACATTTCTGACTGTACCCAGTGCTTGTATAAACAAATAAATAAATCTTTAAAAAAACAAAACAAACATGGCTTAATATTTTGTACCAAATTCTGCCTTATGGATAGAGTACATTAATGTTTACTCAATTTAAAAAAAATTGACATTTAATTTTGGTGGCAAACTGCATTCACAGTATTGATCATCAATATATTTAAATGTTTAAATGGATTGCCTTTTTTGTCCTCAAGATATATAACATGTAAGTTTCAATAAGTATTTGTAACATTATGTCAAAAATATTTAATCAACATTTAGTCTTATAATATAAATATATTTCAAAAATGTGCCTATAATACCACAAATTTTGATCGCAAGAAGCACAAAGCAGGTACAACTAGACCAAAATGTTCAATGATTTTATTCATTTTTACTCATTTTTTCATTTGTTCATCTACTTATGCTAGAATTTTAGAGGTGGAAGGGATCTTTAAAAAACATTTATTGAAATAACAATGATTTATAACATTATACAGGTTTTAGGTGTACCTTATTATAAACCATTAACTGTATGTACTACTAAAAGTCTTAATTCCACCCTTCACCATAGTATTGACCCCTTTTGTCAGATTTATACCATCCTCACCCCTTCCCTCGGTAACCACTAATTCGATCTTGTACTTTGAATTTTCTTTAATTTTTTCATTCTTTTTCTACTTTATTGAAATAGCATTGCCTTAAACACTGCATATGATTTAGGGGAATAGGTTCATTTCTCCTTCGATGTATGTCACCATACCACCTGCATAGTCAAGGTCCCCCTAGTCCTTTACCCTATGCTACTGGACCCCCTCACCCTCTTTGTTCTCACCTCCACCTCTTCTTCCCCTCTAATAGTCTCTATTCTGTGGTCATATTTATAGGGCTTGTTTTAGTTTACTTTTGTCAGTTACTTTTTTTTCTATATTTCACATAGATTAAAATCATTCAGTCTTTGTCTTTCTCCTTCTTGCTTCCTTCACTTAGTATAATTCCCTCTAGTCACACCCATGTTGCCAAACTGGCAAGAGATGATTTTTTTTTTTTTATAGTGGAGATTTCCACTCTCTATATACCACATCTTCTTAATCTACTATGTTGTCAATGGACATTTTTTTGTTTGTTTCTTTATGTACCACATATGAGTGAAATCATTTGGTATTTGTATTTACTTGCCTGATTTAAGTAAGACATTTCATAGGTCATTTAAGGCATAACTAAACCTCACTGTTGGTAAGTGTAAAGTCTGCCATTAGAAATCGAATTGACCCAGCTTTCAAACCAATGCTAATCCTGTCCTAGCCTATAGGAGTATCTTTTTTAAAAAAAAAAAAATTATTTATTTATACAAGCACTGGGTATAGTCAGAAGCACAGGCGGGTGAGAGAATTCACCAGAGCCAGAACAGGGAACAGAACAGGCAGACTGACAAAATACACTGCTGAGGGGAGCAGTAGGTGTGGCAGGAGAGGTCTGTCGCGCCATGTGGGACCCTCGCTGGCGGCCGGGGATCGAACCAGCGCTGCAGAGGCTGTGGGCAGCCCGGTGCTCAACCGCTGCAACACCAGGGGAGGCCCCTATAGGTGTATCTTAATAAAGAAGCAGAAAGGAAAGAAGAGAGATCTGGAAGACAGTCTCTGAGCAACTGCAAATGCTATTGATACATTGAGACATTTTGTTTATGAAGAAATGACAGAGCCCAGGGTATAATTCATGGAATTCATTTAGGGTGGTTGTGGAAATACCAGATAAACTTCTCATTGTCTTAGTAGCTAGATTTTTTTCTTTCAACAAATGATTTCTGCCATCCAATGTGGAGATTCATTAGAGCACTCACTAGCATTTAAAAAAACAATTCTGATTTTTTTAATGAAGACAGAAAATTCTTTCAGGTCAGAAGCATATATGGGCAAAGATCAGATCAGTCTCAGAGCAAAGATGCAGAAATAGGATCAGGATATTGGAGTTAGAATTTTTGAAGGCCTATTCACAATTTGCTGATGGAATTGTAAAGTAATGAAGGCAATTCCCAAAACAAGTCAAGATGTAAACATCTCCCTAGATCATCATTCAATTTCTAATCCATCAGAAAATATTCTTAAGTCTCACAGTTCCCTTTTAAACCCTGTCTAAAGTTATCCTGGTTAAGGTGGTGGTGTGGGGATTGAAAGCAAGTGCTAATATTTCTGTGGGACACATTCTGCATTGCAGAAGCAAAAAAGCAAAAGAGTAACAGGAGGTTGCATTTTAACTCAATTAAAATTATAGACACTCATAATCTTCAGGTATATGATTTTAAATTGTTAAACAAATTACAACAGGTTTTATGTCAAAAGAAAAATTTTCCAAAATAGAATTTAAAATGTGCTAGAATAAGTTATTTGAGTACAAAAATAACTTATGGTTAATCTGAGTGATTTTGGTACTATTTGACTTTACAAGAAAGGGAAGTTTCTTTTCCACATTTTGCACACAACCCATTAGGTAGTAAAGCAGTTCTAAGCACAAGTTGTGTTTCCAAGGGAGGTTAGGGACTCTCTCCTTGGGGGTCATAAATATAGTTTTCCATCTGCTAGAAACTGTTTAGGTGAAACATGCCTCAAGTCAGGGGCTGGATCAGATGATCTCTGGGGGTCTCTTCCAGCCTTTTGAGTCTTTGAGAGAAATTTCTAATCAGCATGTTAATGAGTACTTTAAATTTGTATTCTGATTTCCTTGAAGATAATTACCAGAGACACTAAGTGGAGAACAGCATTTCTAAATGCCTGTTTAAAAGAAGAAAAAGAAGAAAGAAAGAAAAAACCAGGATTCCTTCTGAAAAGAAAAAAAGAGGTCATAAAATATGACCCATTTGATATCAGAGAAGGCAATTACCTGAGAAGGTAGGATGGTCCAGTGGTCTTGGTAACATCGGAGAAAGTCCAAAGCTACTGCATCTTTTCCCTGTTCTGATGTCTTGCTGTGTGACCCAGGGCAAGTCACTTGACCTTAGTTTCCTCATCTGAAAAAAACAAGACCCCAGGAGTTGTGCTTGATTACCTGACTAATATCAAGCTACAGGAATTAAATGAAGAATGGAATTTCATTTTGGGCTTCATCACTGCTGCAGCGATGACAGATGGGAATTGTATGAATTGCTTTAGCCCCTGCGCTTCATTAACTGACAGAAGAAAGTCTGAATGATATGGATGGTAAATTAAACTTTGAAAATCTTTTAAGAAATCTTAATTTGGATATTATACAGTTAGTAAATAGAGCAAAATTTATTTTGATTTCTGCATTATGGAAAATTAATTGTGATATCTTCCTGTGTGTTCAGTGAATCTAGTTACTCCAACATTGGCTCCAGAAGTAAAGAAATGAGAAAAATACTTACAAGTTTGGCCCAATATATCCAATTTTATAGTTAGTTTTTAGAGGGAAAAAGATCCTTTCTATTAAAATTAGTATATATCTGCTTACAAATAAAAATAAAAAGTGTATCAGTTCACATTATCTTCTGCCCTCTGTCCATCCTTCCTTTACTCATAGTTAAATAAATTAAATCTGAAATTTATATGTTTCTTGACACAAAAATGTAAATTACACTGGGTGACTAAGCTGGCAGGTTTCCCAACCTGGCACTTAGGGTTAAATTCTTAGCCAGTGTTATTTTCAGCATTCATTTTTTCTACCAGAGTTCAATGCTTATTTTAATAAACATGTCTAAAACATGAAATTAAATAAGGAAGGAATTAAATTTATACATAACATAGAAAATAATGCTTACCAAAATCAGCTAAAAACTGTGTTCCTGACATCAGCTAAAAATCATGTTCCTGACACACTCTTTAGAGAAAGCAAGTAACAAATTTAAAAAAAAAAAAAACCAAAAAACTATGGGGATAGAAAGATGAATGGACATTGTTTTTGACCAAATTTGAAAAACTGAAACACCTATACCTGATAAAATCTCTCAGTACTTCTAATAACCATTATCTATAACTTAATACACTATATATTCCCATTAAATTGGAAAAGTCAACCCCATTTTGAAATAAGCATAGGCAATTTGATTAGAGATTGCAACTGCTTGCAACCTTTTGTTGATGAAGAGTGAAGAGAGGGCAGGGATATCACAGGAAACACAGGGATATCTGCAAGAGGTTTGGGGAATCATAAATTCTGGTTCTGACTCTGCTGTTCAGCTTTTAGATGGCATTATACCTTATTCTCACCATCTGTACAGTATGAATAATCATACTTTGTTAACTCACAGGTGTGTTGTAAGGAACAGACAATGAAAAAGTTACAACATATAACCATTGTCAGAGCACAGATAAGAAAAACAAATGTGGTTAAAGGATAAAAAGCAAATGGACTGACCTTTCTATTAAAACTGAGAATCACATTTAACCTGATAACAAAAAATTTTTCTAACAGTGTTTACGTACCCAAGTATTTCACATGACATAATTTACCTACAAAATGTACATGATTTGGATTATTCCAGATTCTATGAGGGTTAAAAAAAAAGACATACTGACCCTGCAGAGTGGGTTCACTCTGAAGTCTATGATGTATTTAATAGTAAATTGCACCTTTAATTAAAAGATTGAATAGGGGGCCTCCCCGGTGGCACAGTGGTTGAGTGCTGGGCTGCGAAGCTGCCCACAGCCTCTGCAGTGCCGGTTCGATCCCTGGCCACTGGGTTAGGGTCCCACATGGTGCGCAGACCTCTCCTGCAGCCTGCTGCTCCCCTCAGCAGTGTATTTTGTCAGTCTGCCTGTTCTGCTCCCTGCTCTGGCTCTGGTGAGTTCTCTCACCCTCCTGTGCTTCTGATTGTACCCAGTGCTTGTATAAATAAATAAATAAATTTTTAAAAATAAATAAATAAATAACTCTTTTAAAAAAAGAAGATTGAATGAGTACTTTATATGAAGAACAGGGAGAGGACAACTGTAACGAGTTGAAGGAATACGTTTTGTTCAAGGTTTTGGCATTTATTAGCATGAAACAGATGAAATGTCCATAAACCCTTGTGACTCTCCCTTCTAAAGTTTGAGTCCAAGGATACCAAGTTGGCGTGTCCCAATTTGAATCAGATGGCTACTCCTGGATAGTTAGATACAGAATAAGAAAAAATCAGTAAGCATATATGGCCAGTAAGCACCCACATTTGCTTATTAGCAGACTATTCCCAAATAGAAGAAAAATCATTATGTACCAAAAAATCACCCCAAGGTGGTGACTTCTGAAAGCATGTTATTAAATGTTAGTGATTCTTTCCTAGCTGAGAGAAAGAGAACATGCTAATTTTTTTCTCTTCATGCTAGAGAGTACATTTTCTACCATCGATAAGCACTTTCTGGTCTTAGCCCTTTTACTCTCAAAGAAGAAAATCTGTTTGGAAATACAAAGTTGGAAGCTGTGCCTTTCCAAATTCCTTTCTTTGTAGTCCTTTCTTTCCTTTGTATGACATTTGAGGGTGGAGGATTTTGCTGTCAATATACCACTTCCTTTTACCAACCTCACTTAGTTTCTTCTCTTGTGAAATTGGACCTTCCTCCAAGAAAAATGAAATGCATAAACAAGTTCAAGAGTTCTGGTTCAGTGTTAGGAAAGTCAGAAGGAAAGAGAATTTCAAGGATGGGTAGTCAAACTTGTTAGAATCATGTACAGTGGAAGAAAAATATGGAGCAGAGAAAAAAAGCCATTTTATTTTGTGATTATCTTTGGTGACATTCAAAAAATGTAGTTTTATTAGTATAGGGGTTGAAGTTCAAAATACTTTAAGATAGAGAGCAAATTAATGTGAGAAAGGAAGTGGAGTAAGCAAGTATAGAATACATGCAAAGTTTTGAGAATTGAAGAGAAAATAGATTGCTTTTTGGACATTTGAAATATAACCTCACAATATCCAATGGTGTGTGTGTAGGTCCAGGAAACTCCAAATATGCCTCTCGGGAAAGGTGACAAATGTCTTCATGTGTGGCACAGGACTCCTTGCATCCATGCAGTATCAGTCTTGAATGGGTGCCTGGAAGTATCTTTCCCTTTATCATTCATTTCTTTTCTCTTTTCCATCTTTGGAAAAGATGTGCTCACCCTCAGTTAAGTTGCAACTAATATTTTTGTCTTTTGATTTCATCCTGTCTTCAGTTTGGATTAATTTATAGCATATCAAGTATTTGAGTGTAATATCTAAAGCCAACCAGTTTTTATTTGGAAGTGATCAAAAGTAATAGGAAACTTTTATTTCCCCAGGAGTGCATTTATAACAACATGAGTTCTGAGTGGAGACAAAGAAAATGAGCTTTATGGAAAAGTGGACAGATGAACAAGCGTACAGATAGTTGACTTATAATACTGATTCATTAAGTCATGGAGGAAGAGATGTTATCTACTGATAAATTTGCAGAATAGGAGTGGAGAAAAATACAGAAATTTTGTAATGAACATTGTGGTGAATAACCTAGGAATCAACACTATTTTGTTGTTTTTAAGGCAAAATTCCACCACTGCCCCCAACATCTGAACAGCTGAGTGAGAGCAACTTAAAATCGTTGATGGCTGAGACTTAATATAATTGATCTTTCAATACAAATAACACATAACTCCATCATGGCTATTGTAAAGTCAGGACATGGGCACAGTGCAGGTTTTCTGATCCCATGCAGACCGGGTAAAGGAGGAGTCAGAGTCCTCAGTGGTTTTTTGCAGGTCTTTTATTGGGGTTCACCAGGCATATGGCAGGCAGGGGTGCTGACTGGGGGGCTGGGAGGCTGGCAGGCCTCCCAGCCCCCAGCAAGTCTTCACTCTATCTGGGCTCTCTAGCGTTCGTTCTGCTGCTTCTCGGCTTCTCTTTCGGTTCTGCTGCTGCTGGCTGGGGCTGCTGCTGCTACTGCTGGCGTCCCCCCATGACACCGCCCTTAAAAGCACAGTCTTAGCTCAGCTGAATCCCATCTACCTATGCCCACACCCTATTTCCAGGTGCCGCCATCAGGCATGCATTCAGGACAGGATCCATCATCTATCCTGATGGCGGAAGGGCAGAAAAGCCTGATATTTTCTTTACCCTACAGTCCACCCCCTCAGGGTTTTCTGCCATACAGTCTATACATATATATATACAATTTTCTAAGCAAACAAACAATGCAGCCATGGCCCACAAAGCAAATACATCAAATAACAAAATACAATATAACAAAATACAACAGAACACAAATAAGTCCAGGCAGGGCACCAACCAAGTGCAAAAGACAATTATTGGTACCAGCAGATGAGCCACCAAATCTGCTGCCGAAGGCACTGCTCATACAAGGGAGGGGAAATCACACACGGCATCTGCTATAACACACCAGGAGCCGTCAGGCTTCCTGGCCTTCTCTGGCTGTAGTCTCGGCTACAAGGCACACTCAGCATCCACCCCAGGATGCACTAGCTCTGGGATTGGCAATTTTATTCTGTTGGGGGTAATCGCCAACCCTCAGGGTTTCTGTCTGCAGTCGCTCCAACACTCGCCTTCATGGCCACCCATGCGACTCACAGACCCTGCTCTCAAGCCAACCCACTGCACAAGCACATGGGTCGGGGATCCAAACTCTTCGGCCTCTTTGGGTCTCGTCTTCGGCTTGGGCTCCACCCCAGCCACGTTCCCCCACCCTCCCCCAAGGACAGGTCCTCAGCTCCTCACCCCACTCAAGAATGAGCAGGGCATCACCACAGGTGATTTTACGAGACTCACAGGGCTTCAGCATACCAGGCTGCTTAACAGCCCACTTTAGGGCTTCTCAACTTAGCATCAGTCCAGCTTTTGCC